ATGTTTTTGCATGGTAAGACAATCACTATAACTTGAATAAATTTAAATTGTAGTATATTATCATTTTAATATACAATTTCCTTCTACTTGCTAATAATTCTTTCAAATAGTACATGTTACTCTTTCAATCCAAAAAAAATATCACCTATGAATAAAATTCTGGGCACAAGAAATACTAGATACTAAATGATGAGATGAATAACAATCTGAATTTATTGGAATGTGGCAGCCATATTTCTTGATTCAAAGTTTCTACAATTTGTCAAAATTATAAGCAAAGGTATAATTATAAATATTTTAATCTAGAACAATTATACTGCACTGAAGTATGAATGTGGGAAAGAATGGAGTGTCCTGAAAGTCACCATCAGGCCTGATTAGCCTTCTGCTTGCCTCTGCAGATCTGCTCTTTGAAAGGTGTTGACAAGGGTTGAAGCTTTGGTGTGAGTGTGAGTACAGCCATTTTCCAAATATCTATTTATGATTTGAAAACTTAGAAAATTCATGAAAGCTTCACATCCCTAATTTATTTGACACACAGGCAAATTATTATATGTCATATATATCTCAGATTGCAATGAAGATAAAATATATGCGATAAAACACTGGCATTGTGTCATAGTTTTGGGGAAAAATAAAAGTACAATGTATATTAAAATGGATAGTCCTGAATCACAGCCATTCCTTTGGCACATTCTGACCCACTCTCAACATGTAAATTTAGAGAAAAAAATAACAATAAATACTTGATGATGGCAATTGCACAGCAGAATATGTGAGGGGTATGTGACTGATTATGCTTGGGGACATTTTCATATTACACTTTATAGTGAATGTTGCTTTAGAAAGCATAATGTCATCATAAATCCAACCGGAATTCCACACATTCACAACACAGAAATGCAGAGAACACTTGTGAAGTTAAAAGGACGGTAAGTTTTCTTTCTGAGTACTCTAGGCTGTTGTTCTTTGCAGTTATCTTGGAAATTAGTAGTGTGGATACTGTGATTCTCAAGGAAAGGCCTGAACATTAAAAAAATAAAATAAAACTCTGAAAAACATTATTAATACAACAGTACTTAAATTAACTACTATTTTGAGAGTTTGGAAATTATAAGTTTTAGTATACAGATAAAGAATAAAAATGTTTCCAATTCTAATGAATATAGACTAGTAGATTTCACTTACGTAAGTAAATTACTAATTTATCATCGTAGTAAGTGCTGCAAGGGTTTTTATAGACACCGAGAGAACACAGGCATGGCAGACTTGGCCTGTTTGATAGGTTCTCTTGGCACTGCCTTTATGATTCACATGCCTTTAGTAGAAAACATGCACACAAGACAAAGAATCTAGTGTTGTTATAACCAGGAAGTAACCATGGCAAACAGTTCCTTCTCAATTAACTCTCTCCTTTGTTTTAAAAAGTTTACCCCACTGACTATTTTGTGGCTCTCGGAGACCATAGAAGAAAGGCTGAGAAGCTTGAGTGTGGAGAAACATAACTTCACAGACTTTTCACAATGACCAATATGAAATAATAACAAGTGATTCCACGTGATTTTGTTATAAAATATTAGAGGTGGAAGAGAAAATAGATCTGAAACAGTCCGATTCCATGGTTTCAGAGGCAAGTCGAATCCAAAGGGCTCCACATCCTTGCCTTAGTGACTGTTTCCAACTTGTTCCTCTGTTGTTGTTTCCGTCCCGGAAAAAGAAAGAAAATACACAGGTGGGCACTGGCTGTGTAGCAAGAACTCAGGATTCAGGCTCATTGAATCCAGCCGAAAAGGAAAGTGTAAAAGACCCAGGGGATTGGACAAGGCATCACTGCCAAAGCTAAAGGGGGACAAAAGGGAAGTCGTGGGACTCATTAGCAAAGTATTAGGACATCATCTCACCCTAACGCGCGGTCATCAAAACTGCAAATGGCTTACCCCAAAGCTCAGGGAATCAATAAAGCTAATGTGTGTATACATTTAAACGAAACGTACACCTAGGTATAATATGACCACGAATGATCTAGCCCACAGGGAGAGTTATGGAAATTAAAAGAAGAGAAACAGAAGAAACAGCCAAATAGCGAAGGGAAAGAGAAACAAAGGCTGTTGTTTAACTAAAGCACCCTATCAGCAGCAGTCAGAGGAAGGTCATGAAAGTCATCGCCTGATTACCCCAGCCTCGCTCCTCCCGCAGGCCTCATCTTCTTCTGGGCTTAGGTTTTCCTGTAAATCACGGTAATTGGGAATCAGTTCACACAGCTGTGAACCAGGGCTCACGGATACAGAAGGAGCAAATCTGAAGCTGAGCCTCTCTGCTGGAGAGAGAAAGGAAGTCACTTGTTTATGTACCGTTTCATCACTCTTCCCAAGAGGCACTGGCTCCACATTTATGTTTCATTAGAGGTACAGTGACGTTTGGATTTTAAAGTGAGAAGACTGGTCTGCTGTTGCTCTTAGAAGACTCGGATTCAACTGTAAGTTAAAAGCCATGAACTGTTAGCAGTGTGAGGGAGCTAAGGTTATAACATAGTTTCCTCTTTTACTGGTGAATGCCTTTTGAACGTCAGATATCAAATGATTTGCCAAGTTTGTTAGTCATGGCCTCTAGGCTACAATCACCACTAGTTTGGGTTACAACTTCTGTAACTGTTCTCCCAGTCTTTGGAAAATTATCCCTGAGATACTGAGGCTGACCAATTGTCTCCCTCCCTCCCTCCCTCCCTCCCTCCCTCCCTCCC